CCCTTGGGCCGAGTCCGTTTCGGTCGTAAACCATGCCAGCGCCGTGCATGAGAGTGACGCACGGCGCGCTGCATCAGAAACTGGACACTGCCAACTGACGCGTGCCGATCCCATCACTGACCGATGCCAAATTTAGCAGCTTTTTTAGTAGGGTGCATCCGTCGAATACAAAGGTCCCCCCGCAGGAGTGGTGAATCAGGAGGCAGGGGCAAGTCTGCTGACTTCTGAACCATGCTACAGCACTGCTTGCGCTGAATCTGCTGGACATCATGCGGCAGCAGGCGACGACCGTCATGAACGCAGCGGCGCCCGACGTAGCCTGAAGGACCACCTCCAGAGCCAATGCAGCAAGGAAACACTGGTGTCCAGGGCGCCACCGGCGGAACTGGCGAGCCCCACCGTGCCACAGTAGTCAGAGCCGGCGAGCGTGACCAAGGGCAGCTGGCAGGGCGTGTTATGGCGGGAGGGGGGGGGGGGGGGGGGGGCGAGCCTGACGAGGCAGCTCCAGAGCCAGACGGCGGAGGAGCCAATGTGGTCTCACTACCCACGATAAGGACAACAGGATGTCCCAGCCCGTGGAGACAGCGTCGTCAAACATGAGGACATTCGCGACACGACGCTGCTCGACGAAGACCATCGGACTGAAACACCGATTTCTGGTGATAAATGTCATCACTTGTAATGAGTTTGCCCCCAGATTGTCAACTAGCTATTGTGTTATTTCAGGCTTTCTCCTAAACACATCGTTGCGCTTTCAAGCATTATTTACGCATCGTACCCTTCAGGGGGACAGAGCTGTACACGGCCAGAGGGTGCTGACCTCTCCACGGGCTCCACATGCGCCATTTGCGCCGCAACTTCGCCAGTCCGTCTCCGGTGTATTTGCAGGGGCGGGCGACTGCCGCCAAGAGAGCTGATCGGGCAGGGCGTGTTGGAGCCCGGAGGAGTCGCGAACTGTCTACTGGTGCACCACAGTCCCACAGATACCAAAGTGACGGGAGGTTCAAGCGCTACACTGTGAAGTGTCGCGCCGAACAGGGAGCGGTACGCTGCCGGCTGGCACAGCGCACGTCAATGGAGAATGCGGCCAGCCACCACGCAGTAGGAGGTACGCTGCCGGCTGGCACAGCGGACGTCAACGGTGGGTGCTGTCAGCGGCGATCCCAAAGGCGATTAATTCAGCGTAGCCGGTGAGCCCCAAAGCCCGAATCATCATCACAGTCTAATTTGCTTCCTACATCTTTCGCACCGCTGGCATTGTTACAATGTTAAATAGAATGTCTGAGTATGTTGCTAATTCGCTACCAGATAAACTTGGGGGCAAATAGGGAGCTGTAGTGACGCGATCTACGTTCGTGAGTACTGGCGACGCAGCGAGCCCCCAGGGCATCATGAGCTACCTGTACTTGTGCTTTGGAGTATAAGAACGCATTACGGAAGAGCACATCCTCACTGTGTTCGTTTTGTGCATATGGTGGCTGGGCCGAGCATAAAGCTGTTTCTCAACGGCCCTGGTGGAGCAGATTTTCCCCTCGAATACGAGACGGTGCACCATCTGGTGGCAGTACGACGATGCCTGCAGCGGCTGACAACAGTTTCAGCCAGTGACGCCACTTAGACCGCTCTACCGAAGCGCCAAAATGCGATGACCAATGATCCAGTTTGACATCCGAAACACGTTGTTAACGCTTTACAAACTGGTAATCCTCCTGCGTTGCTAGCGGTGGCCGACATGGGCTCGATGCTGCGTCCGTTAATCATTTCCAAATGATGTTCTTAACTTATCGCCATTCTCTCCTTCCCAAGCAGTTGTTTGGCAAGTCTCTCTGGCCACACCGGCCGTGCTCGAGGCATCGGGGCTAGTACCGTCAGCGCGTGGCCACCTGCCGGCGCCGGCGGCTTCGGTGACCTGAGCCGGCCCCCCAGGCCTGGTACTTACGTCTGTTTGGCGAGAGTCGAGGTCACGCGACGTAAAACCCTCATTGCATGAACCACACGTTCGTGTAGGGTGAGCCGAAAACATGCAACCAACCAACAACACGTTCCCGCCTACCAATGCGACTCATTGCTTTGTTTTCAGTTTTCCCATTGCAATAAAAATGCATTGCGTGCCAAACATAACCGAGAATTGGTTGCTAGCTACAACCTTTTGCGATGTCATTAATCTCTAAACATGCATTTCCCTGATTTATCTGATCTAAGAAGACTGCCAGTGTCATAAGATAATCCGTCGTTGTCGTCGACAAACACGGTATCTGCACCGCGCTAAGACGCCCGCTGCCGTCGTCGGCATACCTCTCGTATAAATACTTATACGAAAGAAATCCAAATTATTTCTGTTTGGATGTATTTCTGTGTTTAGAGCTCACGCTAAGCCGTGCTTATTGTGTGAGCCCTGGCCCTTGCCATCCCATCACGCAATTCCAGGTCAATGGGAACTTTGGATGCGAAGCTATAATGTGCCACAATGTTTGACACGGTCTGTCCTGCCCTCTAACGTCACATGACCTTAATCGCAGCCACGGCCACCGGCCACAGGTCATATCCGTCAAGGACAAATAGCGGGCGCTGGAAGAAACTGGAACCCACAGAGCCGCGGGTGGGGGAATCGGAAGGCATGCGCTCTAACCAACTGAGCCATCGGGATAGACTCGCGCTATATCGGTCCAAAATGAGTCTTTCTCGTGGACAGAACAAAATGTGTCATAAACAAAATCATAACAAAGCAGATATAACAAAAGAGCTTGACAAAACTGAGTGGAATTGGTTTTGACCTGATCTACGCGGAGAGCAAACGAAATATCTGCAAATAGGCCATATATACATATATATGCATATATACATATACACACAGATGTATATATATATATATATATATATATATATCTATCTATATATATCTATATATATATATATATCTATATATATATCAACGCTATAGAAAGAAGCCTGAGCTACCCGCAATAATTTTCATTTTTTCTATACCTTCTCCTGAGGAACGGGCACGATTATTTCAGACCGGCAGACAGCCAGCGGGCAGAACACAAAGTTGACGACGGGGGTGGCCAATATGCACTGCCTCGAAATGTTTTTAGCTATCAAATTTCGGTGTATCCAAACGCAAATGCACTTAAGCGTGCAGTAAAAATTTAACAAGAATCTCACCAGCATAAAATCATTAAAGCAATGTAAACGTTTATGTAGTTAGGTCAAAGGCCAATTCAGTTTACACAGCAGAGTGCTGGCTACTCCAGGACGATAGGCCTTGCTTTTATCATGACTATAAGGTATACCGTATAATCGTGCATGCTTCAGAAATACTTGCTGTTCATATTCATGATACACAACTAGCATTTTCATCTGCTAGTGTTCGCCTTGTCAGGGTGTTCTCTGATATTAGCTTGGCAAAGAAGTGTCAATGCCTTTCACATATTTTACTCCAACGCCTCATCCCTCCTTTCCGCACCCATAACTCGCGTGATGTAAATGCTGAATGCTTCTCCACCTCAGAGTACCTCGGAAGACAATTACGGCGAAGTCGCATACGGGCTTGCCACCAGCCGTCGTACAAAGCTAAACGGCGGAGTCCGCTCACTGGCGCAGAACAACACACACCGGACGACCCACTTAAAGGCTAAAAGATACATGCGTTTCGGGCTGCTGTGTCTGTTTATGCGTTGACAATCCGTATGTCAAGATATCTCTGAATGTTATGAGGAAACATAAGTTTTAAGCGAGCCGTCACACTTGAAAGAAGATTCTCTGTAAAGACTGTCAGGCTCAGTAAAGGCTGTAACACTGCCTACAGGGCCTGCACGTGCCTACGTGCCGCGCGTCTCGCGAATTACACGGAGTGCTTTAAAGGTTTAGCGCGTGTCATATGTGCCGAATAATGGAGGACCTAACTAGCCTTCACAAGCAGACCTCAGAGGGCCCTCAGATTTTAAATGACACAATTTCAGCGAGTGTTAAGTCAACAATTACCACAGCACTAGTTATCTGTTTTTACCCATTTGGTACAGTTTTGCCATTATTTTTCTTTTACGATTCTTCTCCACGTATAACCTCTTTTCTAGCATCACTTCAGCCATGCGTCGCGTTCACGTGCCTAATAAGGTCTGTTTGTTAAGAAGCATGATTGGAAGGGCTATTCTGAACGGATTTCTTCAATCCTCCATTACCTGATGATATAGGTCTACAATCGCAAGCAATGCCAAGACTAGTCAAAACTTTAAAATAATCTTTACTTAACGTAACAGCTGGCCATGTATCTGATAAGCAATGTGTGTTTGGATCAGAAATATGAAACCTACGGCAGGAGAACCTTAGCTCAATTGACGTTAGCACCGGCCCAGGCCACCTAGCATCACCGGAAGTGGCTATTCATATACACTTAGTTCTGATTACTCGGCCGGAATTCAGACACGCCTCCTTCGGAATATATCCGATCAATACCACGCACCAACATCCCAGGTAAGTACCCATGATTATGCTAACGCTGGATAAAGCATGCAAGTAGTGTATTCCGATATCAGCCCATACTTCGGAAAGGAAGGCTCGGTGCAGGAGCTGGGAGGCAATCACCGAGAAATCGCCTGAATGAACTACTGCGACGTGCGACTGCCTACACTATGAACTACTGCGACGTGTGACTGCCTACACTGTGAACTACTGCGACGGGTGACTGGCCTTTACAATGAACTAATGCGACGAGTGACTTTCTGCACTATCTGCTCCGACACTACTCCGACGGATGATGCCTCATCTGCCGCCGTCACTGTGCTTCCGTCCTGCTACAAATGGAAATGCACATAAAAAATTCCATACCAATATCATCCAAACAACACCCCATCGCTAGGATTGCGCAAATGGCCGAACAAATGGATGACCGCCGCTGGGCAGTGTGTCGAGCTGGTCGCACAGTGGACCGCCCGGCACCCGTCCACATCTGCCGGCTGCTGGCGGCGGCCACGCGGCCGCGTCCCGCCGCCGGTACTCACCCAGCAGCGGCCGCGGTACGTCTGCTCGCGGCCCGGCGCGCGGGGACCGACTGACGGCGGCGCCGGGCTCGGCCCCAGGCGGCCGGCGCCACGCAACAAGTCGACGCCGCCCATCGGCGGTCGTTCTCCTGGGCGGCGGCGGGCGCCGGCCAGCCCCCTCTCGTCGCAAAGGAGCAGCCGCTGGCGTCGCCAGTGTGGCGGGTCGGGGGGGGGGGGGCGCTCGGAAGAGTGGTTGGGGCCTCTCGGAAGTGTCCACTCTGGAGTGATCGCTCCGGAGGGGTGGCTTGGCGGCTAAGAGGGCGTGACCACTCTTCAAGTGTCCGCATAAGTCAAAGTCGCGATTCGACAGATTGCTCTCCGCACAATGTTCTCCGAAGAGAACATGCTGAGGATTTCTGTAGAGGCATCGGCATTTTATTGTCAAGCCAAATTTGGCGACAATTCTGAGTGATTTTTGCTCACGTTTCCAGCCCAGAATGAACTAAAAGCTTACGTGTCGGGCACGTTCCATGTCGGCTGTGTTACCGGAATCAGCCTTGTCAGAACGCGCGCAGCCGGGTCGAGAATTAATGTGCTGAAATACGTTACTGCTGTCAACGACCATAGACCACCTGTTTTCAGCCGCTTCTTTGAAATGGACGACTTGTTACCCACCGTGACAAATCGCTTTGTGTTCTCGAATCGACGAATCCTGAAGCCTCTTGTGAATGATAAGCATCCTACACCACACACACCCCGAATTAGTTGCGGTCCGGTTACGCATGGTCGTGATGAAGGCCTCACGCCTCGAGTGAGGCCTTCATCTCGCCGCAGCTCTGAGCGTCATGTGGAAGATCTCTTCTCTCAAGCGTGAAGAGCGCCCGCGGTCAGAGAGCTGGGGTCGGACTCGCTCTGTTCACAGTGCTGAGGACACCGCGGTTTTAAAGGAGGTTCAGTGCCAAGTGGCGTCGAGGCCGGCGCCGCCCTTCGGCCTCTCGGAACAACTTCGCCGTCACGGCAGCGCGGCTCTGAATGACACCACGAAGCAGAGATAATTGAGCTTTTCCGGCCCACCTGACTCGCGGTCTGATAAATGCGGGGCGTATAGTGGTGGGTTATGTCAGCTAAACGAAAGTTGCAACTCCCACTGCACTGAAGAGTGGGGGATTAGTGGGAAATGCGTGGCGAGCACTTGCTTACTTCTCGGCTGCATTGTCAACTATTTCCAGAATGTCAGGCGACTCAGTTACTAATAACAACCGTTCCGTTATTTGTCAGCGCACGTAACAGCAATTTGTGGGGGAATTATACTGAAAGTTCGAAGTTAACGTGTTGCCAGGGATATCGCTGAAGACAAACAACGCTTATTGCGCCCAGCGAGTACAATTGCACAAGGGTCGCCAAGTAACGGAACCATACCTGAAGTGTATTCGTTTGTTTGATGTAGACACTTGCAACGGCTCTTGGTGCCCTCGGCTGCGCCATCGAGGTCATCACGTGACTGGCCGCAATGTCAACCATTTCTGAAAAAAACCATGAACAGGGTTTTTAATGCCGAGATTGCCGGCGCGGCCGCCAATTTTGAGGCATGTACGGATGCCTTGTTTGTTGGTTCAGGCCGCGGCGGAAGAAAATACTAGTTTTGGAACGCTGCTCATATGGCAGCAAGAAATTCGTTTTTCTGCAAGCATTGTCCATAACCCCCGTAAACTTTCGTACGCCTACATTATTTGTTCAGTTGCTTGAAACATGTAGCCTTTTACCTGAACAAAACTTGGCACTGGCAAGGTCGGGGCCTAAGCAGGCAAAACAGCCAAACTTGCTCCAAAATACGTGAAACACGGATTGTACCCTAAATGTGGTTCACCTTCCGATCACTGGTGAGATGGTAGATGAGGTCTCTGACTGGATGCGAAACTACACCCCCGGCTTGGTTCACTGAACGGCGACATTACTTCAATTAAAATGTCTTAGAGGAGGGTTTAGTGCAACACGACACAGCTAATGCTAAAAGCAAAGCTAGAAAGTTGTACCTGTCATCGATATCTTGTTGCGCAAACTACAGCTTTTGCTCCTACGCTACGCATGGCAAATCGACAAAATAACGTAACACGATGCATGGTCATTTTTCGTATTGGCGCAACAAACGTTTACTTCCAGCATTGCCCAGTTGGGGTTCCAATCTGGATTACTTCACACCCTTGCTAGGTGTCTAGGCGTTTTGCGCTCGACGGCAGTAGAGGTAATGTCGCATATACGTAAAGACTGTATACATTTTGCGCTCCGCGGCAATTGGCCGCAGTAGAGACAATGTCGCGTATACGTAAAGACTGTATACATTTTGCGCTCCACGGCAATTGGCCGCAGTAGAGGTAGTGTTGCGCGTTGTATACATTTTTGCAGCAACGGTATTAAAGCTCTATTTTTTAGTATAAGTTTTGCCGCGTAGCACTAAAGTTGCGGATAGGTATGTGCAGTAGAAGTAACTATATTTTAAAAGCATGCGTTTTGCCGCGTAGCACTTCATTCACGGATATGCAGGTATGATTGGTAGGTATGTGTGGTAGAATTAATGTCATATAAGCAACAATGGTTTAGATTTTTGTAGTAGAGGTGACGACTAGTATATGAATTTGAACGAAAAGTTTTGTCTTGCGGCACTTATGTCGCTTAGGAATTTTTGTAGAAGAAGCAATGTCGTATGTAAGTGATGTCTGTGTAAGCTTTTGCAGTGGAAGTAATGACGTACATAAGTTTTTGGATTATAAGGTGCGTCGTGTAACACTAACGTCGCGTACAAGTCTGCTCTAGAAGTAGTGTCGTGTATAATTCGTGGCTGTACAAGATATTGGTACGGAAATCATGACGGGCACACATTTTTGCGGTGAAAGTTTTGTCGCGTGACACTAACGTTGTGTTTTTGTATTGGCGGCAGAAATAACGCCGCAGCACCCCTGCATGTAATAGCTTTTTTGTAGCACTAATGCCGCCCAGCCGTTGCGATGTGTGCATCCGCTGAATACTGCATGGATACAAAATAATAATAAAAATTAGTGGAACAACGCAGAAACGCGTGCATTTTCACTCATAGTAAACCAATGCATAGCTGCCCAGAATGAATTACTGCATTCTGCATCCAGAATGCATTACTGCATTCTGGGTAACGACGCTGTGGCGCTATCATGGGACAAAGTCATATGGCCCCAACGTTCTGGCGGCGTAAAAACGCTGTGCTTTGCTGGCTGCTTTAAGCATGAATATTTCCACAAGCCAATTTTTTTCGACCTAGCACATTCAATGAAGCATTTTCAGCTGGAAAAAGGTGTTGGTTTGCACCAGAGCCACACAATTATTGCTGAAATGCGCTCCCAGCCTGCCCGCGACAGAGAGATGCGGCTGCCCATTCACCAGTGGTTTATCCCGGAGAACTCTAGCCGGAGGTGATTAGAACCAGTCTGTGTAAAAGAGTGCAACATTGAACAACAGCGACAACATTGAACAACAGTAACAACATTGAACGGAAATGAAATACGGCGGGCTAGACGGGTTCGCAACATCCTTCGACGCGCATTGAGAAGTTGGAATGCATATCCTGTTGTCTTAGGGGGAGCGTTGTCAAGGTGGTTGCAGGGTTGGCCTGCACGTATGGGCGTAGTGAGTGAGGAATCCCAGTGGGCTTAAATACAGCGCGCGCCATTTCAATTCAAGATAACATAATTTTCCTGTAAAATGGGCCTATTTCTGGCAAGTTTTGCAATTTCTGCCAGTCAAAGAGTGGAGACCCAGATCTTAGCCCGGAAATAGCCTAATAGGAATATTTTAGGGCGGTGGAGGTATCATTCTCTGCGAACCATTTTTATCTAACCCATCCATCATTATGTATATATATATATATATATATATATATATATATATATATATATATATATATATACATGCAAGTTAACCAACGCCTAGGAGGATCATAGCACAGCAACAGCAAAATCCTTGGCACCCGCCCTCCTCACGTTGCCTTACTTTCACATTTCGCCTCCTATAGGTACTGCAGTACAAACATGTATGCGCAATCATTGCCCATTAATTGATGTAATGTAAACATGACAGATCACTTTTATTTAGTTAAATATAAATACCCCTTTTGCAAAAACGCTTTTCATATAGATATTCACGCACGTTGGCCACGACGAATATGGCGTGGATACTAGAAGTAGAAGTGGATGCTAGAAGTGGATGCTAGAAGTAAGAGTGGTTTAGTATAATTTATTTTTTAAATCAGAGCCTAGTATTGGTTTGCCTTTAGAATAAATGAAATGCAAAATTACAATATCTAATCACATAACATTGAAACAAAGGTGTAGAACAAGGTTGCCATCCAGTTCAATGGCGAAATCTTCGCTTTTAGTCAGGTGGCGAGTGTCCACCAACCTTTCCGTAATGTCGTCAAAAACCAACTGCGCTCTACCAAATTTTAGTCTCATGGTGACGCCACGTCTGCGAAGTCTTTGTTTAGCAGCCTTGTAGTGAACAAAGAAGAATCAAGGGAGTGATGCATGAATATGCAGAACGACAAGCACTGCAGAGACTTGAACGCAAATTTGCATAAGATGGCTCAGTCGCTTGAAAATATTTTAGAGTTGCTGGCTAAATAGGCAAGAAAAATTGGGCTTTATTAGGGATTAAGCTAACTAAGCCTGTTAGGGTAAATGGGCTTATAAGATAATTTCGAGTTGCAACGTTTTCACAGTTTGTATTTGCTCTCCCTGTTGTGCGTAGCCTGTGGTGAGTAGGCTGCATCCACCAACCGATGAGAAACCAGAGACGGGTTCGAAATACGTGAGAAATGTCTCATTTTTCTGATAGAAATTTACGTAAGTTTCTTTCTGCTTTACAAATGCAATTTTTCTGTTAAGTAAATATGCTTCTCGATACGCCCTTCTTTGATCACGTGATCGTACCTTGCACAGCGTTGATTGTGAGCCAATAACTTGTCACTTTATCTGGGAATTGTGCTTAAGATTGTGGGGCTTAAGAAACTGACAAAGAGAGGCTGCATCAT